CCTGCCARGCGCGCGGAGGTTTGAATCGCAATGCTCATGAGATGACCATGCAACAGCCGATTATCGAGCGCGAGAATAATGGGTTCGTTTTGGAGGATGAGTTGCTGCCCGCTGAGAATTTCCGCCAGCAGCTTGATGTGCTCATCTCGGCTTTGGACCCCAGCAAACGGTTGCCCCGCAATGCATTGCGCATGAATGTTAATGACATATTTGCGGATGGACGCTATGGTGAGGTAATTACTGGCAAATTTATCTCTGCCGCATTRCCGGAAGCTAGCGCCGACTGTCAACTGCATGTGCTCGCTTTGGACGATTTGCAGGGTAAAGAGCAGGCACACCTGCTACGTGACTTCCGCAATCTTTCAAAGTTGCAACGACACGAGCATTTACTTGACTTYTATGGCATCTCGTCTAGCACCGATTGGTTTTATTTGGTCTTTGARCATCAAACTGTGAGTTTGAAACGTCGTCTTATCGAGAGTAGGCGCGTGCCTAACACTGCGCCCATGCAACGTATTACTGCACTTTCCGAGGAGTTGGTACTACAGTGGATCTATGAGATAGCCAGYGCACTCGAATACCTTAGCAGCTGCAAAGTGGTGCACAAACAATTGTGTTCACATAATATTTTCGTCACAGCGGATGCCAAATTAAAGATGTCGGTATTCGGTCCAATTCCGTATGTACAAAACGAAAAGAAAATCGACATAACTCGCTGGTTGGCACCGGAAGCGTTACGTTATCAACACTTCTCCGTCAAATCGGACGTGTGGTCGTTCGCTTGTGTCGCTTGGGAGTGCTGTACTCTTGGCGGCACATTATATGCAAATATCACAAACACACAACAACTGCTTGACGCAATTAAGAGTGGTTCACGACCTGCCCAACCGTCATTCGTCTTTCAGGACCTGTACCAACTGTTGCTCAACTGCTGGCAGCTAGAGCCAAGTGAACGTATCAATTTCGAGGAGATCGCGTATAATGTGCGTCAACTGATGACATCACCGCGACACGCGTTATGCTTTGATCGAGTGCCTGAACTGCCCGGCGATAATGTGCTCGACACGCTGCCATACTACATGCCAATACTGGAAATGCTGAACTAGCAACATGTGATCTTTTGAATATACTCATTATAGGGATACAAAGCAGCGAGTCAAATGTGCCTAATATGAATGGTAAATATAAATGTTTGGCARAAACCAGCCTCTGCCTTTGGTTGCGACAGTTCTGTTCACAACAAACATAAAATCTCAAATCTTAGTTTTGTGTAATTTTAAAACAATAATTGTAATATACATATGTATGTACTTTTTGTTTATTTTGTAGCAAAATAAGTTAGTTGATTGATTTTACTTTAAATTATTATTTTTAGACGTAAATAATTGTTTTGATTGCAGCTATTTATTTTAGTTTAAAGCCAAATATCCCTGCAGACAAGGGAAAGTTTAATTACTGTGCATTTCAATAGAAAAAAATCGGAATATACTAATGTTGGAAAAACATGTTGTACAAAATATATTGTTCTTGAATACACTAGACATGGGCTTTTCTAGTTATGTTACAATTGAGTTTCTTTAATAATATTATATTTAAACTGCAATAGAATAAAATATCTTCACGCGATATTAGTGGTATAGTATTTAAAAGCTCATGTAATCTTAAATATACCGGATTGAAAATTTTATTAGAATTTTGTTTTCTAGCATTTCTACGCACACAAAGTGGTGAATATAAAAAGTGTATATTGACATTATCAGATAAATATTTTTAATTTGTTTCAAAAGTTTTTTTTATATTATTGACGAACGAAAACTAATTAAATAAGTGCTTTAAATTTTTATTGTTTTCCTTTTTTCTAAATATTTTGGTGTGCATATGTAGATATTTAGGTAAGTTTGTAGATGTGTAAATTTATGTAAACATAGAATTTTAACGTTGAAGCGCCAAAGGCTTGTAAACACATGTACATTTCACTTTTTCTGCAAGATGCAAATTATTTTTAGAAATCATTTGGTTACATAATCATAAATATTATCAATGTTTATTGTAAAGACTGTGCAACAAATGTTGTTAATTATACAATAAACTCGCGTAATTGCAAATRGTAAAATTTGTAAAACAAATTATTAATTTTTTATTTTTACATATAGAAGATACATAATATATAATCAAATTCATCAAAATATTAAAAAATGCCTTAAAACACTTACATACTTCTTATTGTATGTATTAGCTCATTTGGAAGAATACTGCAACCCTATTTTTTCTTCAAAGGATTTTCATGTTTTTGTTTTAAATTAATGCATCGTTTCAGATGTGATGTACATAATTTACTAGGTAACGCTAGAGATCTTTTCAAATTTCTTGCAATTTTTCTCCTTAGAATGAAAAACTAACTGTTTCTCGCAAACAACAGAGYTTTTCCAGTAATATTCTCAAAAAGCAAAACATTGAAATTTCGAAAACCCTTCCCGGTATAATTTTTTGCAACTCGCYTTTTTTCCGATACTTCCATAATAATTGGCGCTATCCAAAAGAATATTCTTCAAATATCATTACAGTGAACTTTCGATTAGCGAAAAACCTTGATATTTCATAGTATTTCTTCGGTCCCTAGAAAAATTCGCGAAAAATGCATGTATTTCGGTCCCTTTGATAACTCGTATTTTTCTTGAGACRAAAATTGAAAAATGTGTATCAAAAGCCTCTACAACTCGTATTTATTGTAAACATTGATAATGCCATACATAAAATACGCCAAAATAATGTCCGTCAAAAACATATTACGGATTTCTTTTAAAATGAACACTTTTCTTAATTTTTTTGTACAATTTTTCAAAATACATACATACATATATTGATTGAATAACATATGTACTTCATATTTTAAAATTTAAATATGTACAATCATTTCTTGTTTTTTATGTAAAATTGAAAAAATAAATTAAAAAAACTCTATAATTCGTATATTCTGTATGTTGCCTCTATAAGTTGTATAACTTGATAACTTGAAAAAATGCATAATTCGTATTTAAATTGTGGTCCATTGCAAATAAGAGTTATCGTAGTTTCACCTGTCTCTTATACACATCTAGATGTGTATAAGAGACAGGTATAACTTGATAACTTGAAAAAATGCATAACTCGTATTTTAATTGTGGTCCTTTGCAAATAAGAGTTATCGTAGTTTCACTGTATATTGTATACATTATGGGAATTTTTTACCCGAATTAACAATATACTGCTTTAAAATACTATTTGGCGAAAACTATTATTATTGTCATATAAAAATGCATGTCTTCATGTATTATATAAATAAAGACTCATATGAAACATCAAAACATTTATGTACATATTTGCTTGCGTATTTGCGTGCAAATTTATTATACAATGTGTGTGAGTATTACCGAATATATAACTATGTATAAACGAATGTTTTGTAGACACGTAGCAATATTTATTGTTTTATAGCATTTTAAAAACAAATTTGTGAATACRAATGAAGGCGATGAATTAGCTCACCAAAGTAAATTAAAAAGCATAAAGCACAATTCGCATCAGAGTTAACAGCTGAGCACCTTTATTTTTAATGCACATCGTTCACTAATTGAACTGATGGACGATTTAAATAAAGGGACGATCGCGGATGGACTGCTAAGTAGCCGGCATAATAAGACGAATCATAGACAGAAGGGAGGAAATGTTATATGCAATCTTCAAGCTTATATATTATATGTATATTTTTATTGAAAAATGGAAAATATTGAGCTAGAGAGAAAGCATTAGCAGAGAACTGTGAATGATTGGTAACAAATTCATTTCACACAGCTACAAACCTTTTTCTCGTTGTCATAATTTTATACCGTTAAAAGCAAATTAATTAATCGGTAGATAAAGTCGTTGTATACAGCCTTATGCATTCTTTCAGCAGAAAAGCAAAGGTTACCTGTCAGTAACGGTTCGATGTTTCTTTGAAATAATGAGGGACCATTGCRCRTATATACAGACAGACAGACGGAACTTGCCTAATCGACTCAGTCCGCCACGCTGACCATTTATACGCATACATAATGGGGTCGCCGACTTTTCCTTCCGGGTGTTATAAATTTGAAGGAAACGTATACATACTGTTCAGGGTATAGAAATATTTTGTATGTTTAGACTGTTATAATTACTTATGTATTTCAAATGAATATAATTTTCAGGGCATCAGAATGGCCGCATATTTGATTAGCTTCGAAGCAGATATTAGACACATAAATAAAATTGCATACCCATGTTAAGTTAGCAATAAGCATGTTGTTAAGTTCCAATACTGTGTTGGTAACTGTAGCATAATTGTTAATTCTACTATAATTTTATCATCATTGTACAACTTCCGTATGATGAATAAAAATTAGTTCCATAGATTATTATAGATTATCAAAACTAAGTGACACGTCACATTATTAAACAACACATTGATATTACTTGTAAAACTTTTCAAAAAATTTTGCTTTTACAGAATTTATTTCAGCTGTTCGATTACTGATTACTGATAAAAATATGTGGCTGCATGCTGGTAAAATAGTTAATAAATTAAACAAATAATGTTAATGCAGYGATCCATCTTCATTATGAAATAGATCAACAGTTAAAAACCTGCCTCAACATTTGCATACTGCTTATATGCATCGAAATTTTGGTATCCAAGCAGAAACTGCTCGACCCCTTTGAAGGTAATCAACACCTTCCTCTCAACATATGACCCCCGTTCCTAAATAATTCACATGCAATAACACATATTTTTGAATGTTGCAGTATCTCATTACTAGATATTTTGTTACCTTTTAGCCCTACTACCCTAATTTTCTTCATCTTAAATCATACAAAATTCCTTTCATACGCATCCTATATATAACTTTGATGCAGTTTCCTGGATGAACACAATTAATATTCACTTGACACGAGAATTTATACATATTGATGTGGCTTGTCACTTTAATGTTTTCACTTACGTATAGATATTGCGTTGCAGTCTGCTTTATGCACTCGAATAATTTAAAGTTCAATTAGCTGGAAAAATTTAATCTCCTTGCTAATTTTGGAATTTGCTCGCAGAAATTTTTGATTTTCCTCTAGTGACGGCAAATTTAATCTATTTGTTAGATATTGACACTCTTTTCCAACAAATTTTTATTGTTTTTGTTGCATGCTTACGTACAAATCGTGCGGAAGACCGAGATAACACGATTTCCTAAAACACACGTCAAATTTTATGTAGGGTTGCTGTGTTAATATATGTTGTGTCAAATTGTTAAATGTTGCAAGTGTAATGAATTTTATATATATGCGTATTTAGTAAATATAAGGAGAAATGCATAAAATAATTCACAACAAACAACAACGAATACGAATCCTTTAGTTATAAAAACTGATACTGGCATATTTTCATTGAAATCTGATGTTGTTTTAATCTTGGCAAATGATATGAGTCACCCTGCATCTTCATGCTTCAGTTRTAAATKGATGGTTGCRTTTTAAATAGCTCTTTACCGAWTTGTTTTGATTTCGTTTTCAAATATTTTTGTAATTTTCTCTTGCATATAAACATACAGGTTATAACACGCATACCTRTATTGAATTCAAAATGTTAATGCAATAATAAAGTTTAGATTAGTAGTTAAATAAACTTCGCGGTGTTTAATAAAAAGTATGTTAGTGGTTACACTTTTTAAAATTTAAATAAGTTTCAATAAAGTTGCTATTTTGCGACGCGACAAAATATTTACTTGCATCACAAGCTCGTGGTTCAAAAAGTGTTGATACAGTGCCTCAAAAAGTATACAAGCGTGGTTATGCTTCTTCGAAGCGGAACGTATATTTACGATATGAAAAGTTATTGAACGTACGATAATAACAAATTAAATGAAATGTTAACCACAGAAAATGACTGAGGTTCCAACCGTTATCACGAAGCCTGATAATTATTCGGCCAAGGATTGTCTCGACGGCATTACTGCAAATTGCTTCAGAGAAGTTTTCTGCCGTTACAACAACAGCATCTGAGATTACAATCTTACGTTATGAACGTACAGATGTTATACCGTTAAGATAAAGAAATATAGAAGGCAAAAATTTCACCTGGCAACTTTTTAAATGTCATTTGTATCGCACAGTGGTATGCGCGCGTAAATATTTCTATTTCCTCGTATTCTACTTTAAAATATCCTATTTGCACATTTCTTATTTTTTACTTTCAACTTTTACGAGCTCGCGTTRTCTTCGCTTTGCCATTCTTCGGCACTGAAAACTTGAGTAAAACGCGCCAAAAACAATAACTGTATACATATATACATGCAAGCATTTATGTAACAGAACGCGCACAATACACTTATATTAATATTATTTGAATACACATCAGATCCCTTGTTGCGTCCGTCGCCCGCCACGGTACACCTTCATTCACCCCGAAATGCTCGACTGCGAGAAAGTGGTAAACATTCTGATGTCCAACGTGAAAGTTACCACTACTCAAAAGCGCATATACATACAACGATACATACCATTTACACACATATGTATGTGACTGTGTACTACCAATAGGCCCACTGCTCTCCCATAGTGAGAGCAGGCAGGCAGGTGTAGCAATAGTGAAAATGCGCGAGCGAGTAACAAAACTAAACACTCAACAATGGAGCAGCAGCATCTCGTTGGGTGCAACAACAAACCAAGGCAAAACGTCATCATCGGGTGGTGTTGGCTCCTGCCGAGAGCACGCTACCGAGCTCTCGTGAGTTTGGAGCAAACATCGCGAGCGCCGAAGTATTGTTATGCGAGGAGGTGCAGTGGGCGGGCGGCATTGATGCTGCTGGCGAKATTTTCATTTTGGCTGTCGCTCGTCTTTGATGTTCGTCTTGGCCAAAATAGTAGTGCTCCGTAAAATAGTTGGTTCGCATGCAAAAAACGGCAAAATACCAACGGAATTTTCGCACAACGCGTTTATTTTTTATTTTACTTTTTTTCTACACAACATTCTAGAAAAGTAAAAGGAAAAGGATAAAAAATGKAAAGAAAATATTAACGCTAAACGCAGAAGTATAAATTGTGTGTTTAAATAATTAAACGGCAATTAAAAAGGTGTTTAGCGCTAAATGAAACATACTACTAACTGAAAAATTAAAGAACAACAACGGACACGGAATATCGCGACAAAAATTGTATCGGTCGCAGAGTTCTGAAAAATTGTATTTTATCGAATCGACGCAAATGAGAATATTTAGCTACAGCAGCAGAAAAGCAAAGATTTATTAATAAAAATATATGTATAAATATAAATGAAATTGAAAAATGAATTTGTAGAAATGTGAAAATATCATCATAATATAACGAAAAAATGCAAGCACTCATGAAAATAAAAACGTTTTCGTGTATTTTTTCGGTTCAGCGCAACTCAAGCATCATTATACCTACACAAGCACGGACGTAAGGGGGGAAAAGCATGAATTTTTCATTAAGAAATTGGAAATCAAGTGCTTTCCACCTTCAAGTACCGTTGCATTTAAGTGAAAAGTGAAAAATTGCTCTTAAAGCTTTGCCATWGATGTGGAAAAATGGTTGTTGTTGCTGCTAGTTGTGTAAAGTGAAAATTTTAGTATCTATCATAATTATATGCTATGTAATATATATAAAAATGGATATACATATGTATACATATGCATTTATGTAAAAAACGAGATGTAACTTTGTAAGCCCACAATTATGTATATTTGTGTGTGTGCGTGTATAATTGTATACACGTAAAAAAACAACAACATTGTTGTTGCGAAGAACAATTTGGATATATGTATATTCTATGTACATATGTAGATGATAAGCGCACACTTTTTGCCCAGCGCAAATTCGCATAAAACAAATGAACACACTTATTTGYTGTGTGAAAAAGTATCCTTTTATGCTGCTTAAATGACAGTTGACGGATCTTCGAAGTTTCCGTCTCCTCCTTCTTTGATTGACGTTTGATTGCACAGTCAAATGTACAACGTCTGTATATCTCCAAAGTACGCAATTATGTGTWTGTGTGTGTGTGTATATATAGGTATATGTATCACCTTGAGTGGCGGTGGGGGCGGGCTCCGCCACAGAGTTATACAAAGTCAAGTGATAAGTTTAGCATTCGTTTCTAAGTATAAACCTATATTTATAGTATATGTATGTATGTATGTATGTACATCAGTAAAGGTGTACGAATGTCGGTATGTTTTTGCGAAATGTATACTAAGTTGCAGAAAAGTTCTTATACACATAAAATTAAAGCTGCCCTTTAATACACCAACATATCTCACTTATAAATACGTACATATGTATGTATGTATGTATTTGTGTATGTCTGAATCCCAATACCCAGCCATTCGTACAGTGGTTGAAAATGTATACACAAATATATTTGCTTTGCACTATTTCCATTTCGTTTAAAGTATAATTGACGAAAATCGCATTAAGCTTTAAATTATACTCCAGCGTTTAACTCATTAAAGTTGGCTCACATTCCATAGTATGGTATGTCTATCGAGAGGCGATAGTGCAAACAGTTACGTCCTCCTCGCCGTTGCAATTGCAGGCAACTTTCGAGCATCCTTTGCCRTCTCTCGCTTGGCGACTATCATCGTTGCTCGTCTAGTTATTTGTTTGTGTGTGCTGTGTATGTGTGGCTGTATGGACGGTTAATAAAACACAATACTTTGAAAAGTAGGTGTGTATAACGGTGAAGCTCGTTGATTTATCATATGAAAACATCTTTGTACCATCCATTGCCAATTCAATATAATAAAATTTCCTCTCCTCTTGTGCTTAGCTTCTCTCTTTCTCTTTATACGCAGGGAGTTAACAACACATCCGAAATAYTCCGCCGCCCCCCTCCGCTAGCACACGGCACCACAGACACACACATCCACCTTGGCTTAGTTTGCTGCTACCATTGTTGTTAGCACATCTACGACTTCAGCTTCAGTTTCAGCTCTCACTTTCTCTCCAGCTCATGTATAGTGGAATGTTGTTTTTCCATTTCAGTTTATTGCTGTTATGTCTTTCGCAGTTACGAAATTGTTATCCTTTATCTTCACTCCTTTTGGCATTTGGTGCGATTCGTGTTGTTTTTATTTTATTTTTTATTTTATTTTATTATCCTTTTCTTTTATTTTTATGTTATCCCTTAATTGTATTGTATGTACAAACGTACACAGTTACCGTTGTAGGTGCTTGTATATTTATAGTTTTTCTCAGCCTTGCGCCAATTCTGATGTTGCCACATTGCTGGAAAKTAACTTGTGTACATTTAATTGAATTATTTTGGCGGAATTTAGCATATCTTAGTTTTTTATTCAATTATTAAAAGTAAAATTCTTATTTTAATATTAAAAATATTCATAATTTAATTAAAAATTGTAAGATTGTACAACATTTTCGCATCTGAAGTATAAAATCTTATTAAATTAGTACCATACCATATCTATGTGACATGGRCCATGGTGCTAATTCATTTCAAAGCTTAAACGATGCTTAGTTTTTTATTCGTAATTTTACCTTTCTAGCCCTTGTTCCAAAAACAAGTCTTCATATTGGGTATAAACTGCCGTCGGAAAAAGTCCGCAGACCTTTCGATAAATATATTCAAACTTACGAACACTTAAAGTGTATAAAAATGWAGACTTCCTTGAAGATCAAGTCTTATAAAGAGACTAATAAATATATTTGTTTTGAAGAGTAGTTATTGTTCGATGAGAGTGAGTTTTTTTTAGTTGAGCACAAACCAAGTTGTAAACATGTAAATTTTGTATTCGAGGACTTCTTACACTTATGTACAGTACATTGCAGGGAGATTTTAAGCTTAAAGAATTTATACTGGACTTCTGTTCGATACAGTCACAAGTCTTTAAATTAGTGACAATTTTCGTGACTTGAGACTATATTGCAATTCAGTACGTAACAGTCATAAAAACGCTCAATTGCAAACGAACAGGACTAATCAGCTGTTACATTGCGTTGTTTAGAGAGACTTGAAAGAAAATAAACATGTCGATAATAAATATTAAATTTACTACAACACAGTCAAAAATCAACAATAAAAATATAAATATATGTACATATGTTGACTTTGGTTCAGAACCGTTACGAAATTTGTATGAAATTGATTTATTTCTAACTTTTTCATATTTGAGTTGCTTAA